GCCCTTGGGCCCCTCCTCAGCATCCTGCTCTCGTTCCATCACCCAATCCTCCCAAGGAGGATGCACCCAGGAGGCCTGTCCTAGATCTGGCTCGGGCATGGTTCCCTGCTTCAGACTCCTCATTTCCAAGAAAGACAAGGAACTCCAGTTTCACACCCATCTTTGGATGAACTCCAGACTAAGGTTCAGGGGACAGAGCCAGGTGCCGGTTGCTTTTTGGAATGAACAAAAGACTTTCCTAAGCCACCTCCCCTTTGAAATGGACTGTTCTATTTCAACATAGATCCCAAACTGGTTTGCAAGGTAACAAATGTGTGGCATATGGGGTGCTAGTGTAGACTACCAAATGCAGAGAGTCCTCCTAAGCTGCCTGGAGGGGGGTGTGATGCCGACATAGATGTTATTGTTTGTCTTCCCCACTTGCCTTTTAGGGAACATGTTCCTATCAGGAAAGCGAGTCTCTCACCCCAGGAAAGATCTCAGCTTTAAAAAATTTAGCGCAATTCTTTTTATATCAGATGGTTATATTTAAAGTATTCAAAGGCCTCGATTTACATTGTCTTGGTTAAATTACTCATCACCAATCTCTCATCTACAACCTTTTTTTCATTTTATGAAGGTTCAATTTACAAAGAGAGTTTTATTTTTAGTTTTTCTCCAGCCAAGTAGGTACTCATTTATATTGTAGGCGTTTTAACCGTGCAGCCACCCGCCTGGATTAACAGTTGGCGAACATTTCCACCATCTCTTCTGCTGGTCCACACGGTCAGCTGTGAACTGTGGGTGTGTGGGTGGGCATCTTTCTCCCACAAGAAAGCAAAACCCAACAGGCCAGAATGCATCTTGACTGACAGCCAGCACATGACAGAAGGAAGGAGGGAGATCCGACCCAATGCAAGAGTATGTTCTTCCACGGAGCAACATGATCTTATAAAAAATTGTTATTAGCCCTGGCTGGTTTGGCTCAGTGGATAGAGCATTGGCCCACGGACTGAAGAGTCCCGGGTTTGATTCCGGTCAAGGGCATATGCAAGGGTTGCGGGCTCGATCCCCGGTAGGGGGCGTACAGGAGGCAGCCAATCAATGGTTCTCTTTCACCATTGATGTTTCTATCTCTCTCTCCCTCTCCCTTCCTCTCTGAAATCAATAAAAAAATATTTAAAATTTTTGTTATTAAGGTCTACCATTTAAGTGGGCACTTGATGCCTGCCAGACACGTGCTTATTGCATATACCTTCAAAATAATTCTGCGATGTAGGTATCAGACCTATTCCTTGGCTGAAGAAACTATGGTTTAGAGAAAGTGTGACTTGGCAAACTTCCTAGAGCTGGTAACAAGCATCTAGGTCTGTCTAATAGGATACCTCTATGGCAATATGTATGTGCTCATTTATTTATATCCCCACTTCATTCCAAACAGACTTTGAGGCAGCTCAGAGGAAGCTGTGTGATACAGCAAAACAACACAAATATTAACAGTGAGGAGGCATGTGAAGGGAGCTCAGAAGGTGCCAGATGTCTTGCAACACATGGGCTGCCCACTGGGCTCTGAGCTTCCTAGTAGCCAAAGCAAAGAAAGCCCAATCTCTTCCCCAATTGTTGGTATTGGTAGCATAAACACAAATCAAACACGGACTAAAGGCCCAAAGAAGCACAGTTTTTCCTAAGTTCAAGTCCAAAAACCAAACAAATGCCTCCCAAGTGACCTCTTAGGGAGGCCTGAGCAGAACAATAGAACAATCGTAGCGTCTCAGCAATCCCAGCACAGCATAGCCAGGGTGGCTGTGGATGGGGCCAGGAGCTGTGGGTCAGCCCACCCTCTCTCTCTCAGCTAAGTCATGGCAGCCCTGGGTTCCCCAAGTTGTATGCAGGTTTGATGGTGAGTACAGGAGGTGGAGAAGACAGGATCAGGAAGAGGGAGAAACTGACCCAGATTGTGGTTGAACCTGAGGCTTTAGTGTTCATCAGGGATCGTGGGAGCTGAGATGGCCCCTCGGAGTGGTCCCAAATGGAGCTAAAGGGCCTGGCCTTGCTGCCCCCTGCCCATCAGCCAGTCATTGGTCACAGGCCAACCTCTAGGAGGGGCTTAACCTTGAGGGAGGCAGTTTGCCTCTGCTGAGGACAATTCTCAGGGTGGGACACAGCTGCGAGGTTGTACCTAGGGGATGAATGTACCAGCCCTGAATCGAGGTTTGGGCAGCCATTACAAAGAGCTTTTGGGTGCGGTGTTGGTGAATGAGCGGCATTTGTGAATGAGTGTCCCAGAAATCCACAGGCAGCTTTCCAGCCGTGGAGCTTTTGTGGGGACTGTGGCATGCTCCAAGGACACAGGCTTCCTTCCTGGCTTGGACAGGCAGGCCCTAGGGCCAGCCTAGGTGCCCCTGGAATAGAGCATTGCCTGTGTTCTGACACACCAGGTAGACAGGGCCCAAAGCCCCAAAGGTCTGCTCTTTTGAGCATGGGCAGCAATAACTTCGGCCTAGAAACTTAAAGGTCTGAGCAGAACAATAGAATAATTGCAGCAGTTGCCCACCTAAGGCACACCTACCTACAGAAGTGAAAGTCCAGCAAGCGCCTGGCTTTAGCAGTATTATTGCTTCCTGGTAAACCTGCCAAGATAAACTGTTTGCTAAGCATACAAGGAGGCAGAATGGGGAGGGGGGCGGGGAAGGGGATGAGTTGGGTGGTGCCATTCAGAGGAAATCTGCCAGGTTGAGGAGAAGACAACAATGGGCTTAGACTTGGACTTTGCAGTTTGTCAGTGACATGCTGGGTGAGGTCAGGAGGGGTTGCAATGACTTGTGGAGGGAAGAGGGGACAGGGAGTGTGGGCCTGGGACAGCTCAGGGTCTGAGGCCTCAGGGAGAGAGAGAGAGGCAGGGGACAGGGGGACACAGGAAGATAGGAAGCACAGAGCAGAGGGAAGGGCTGGCTCTGAGCTGTGCCCGGGAGTGTTTTCATTCACAGTGAGGTATCCTCCCTGACCTGAGGCCAGCAGGAAGCAACTGGCACATGCCTGCTCACCAGGCACAGTGGCGACAGCAACCCTGTTACTTTCTTAATGGAGGTCTGGTCTCGGAGCCTCACGGAAGGCAGAATCCACAGCTCCATTCAGATCCCACTTGGTTCTGCCTGACCTCGCCTAGCTGCCTTCGCTGCGCAGATGTTGTCAGTTTGAATCTGATGCAATGAACTCTTTAAATAGCTACCCTAATGGATAATCAATCATTTCAGAGCTTTAATACTAAATCAGGCTGTTGGACACATTTGGGGGGAACGCTGCTGTATCTGAGCCCAAAGCTCCCCTTTCTCTTTTACTTTGCGAAGCAGAGCGTGTCACATTAAACACCTAATAGGCTAAGACAGATCTCTGTGACCTAAAAAAGGAAAAAAGCTGAAGAGGTAGACTCTCCAAATTACTTAGGTAATTTATAGATCTTTTACATTAGGCTCGTCATCTGAAGAGTATAAAGGACAGCAAAACAGAGTTTCATGTTGATATTTAAAATAAGGGTCTGCTATAAATACGTTTTAAAGTCAAGACTAAAATAATATAAACACAGCAGCCGTGGTTACACTTTTCAGGTTACCCGAGCAGGGAGGAATTCTAAGGAGTAAGATAGTTTCTATAGATAGATCTCCTGGAAACCCCCAAGAAGCCCACTTTGAACCTTCCATCCAGAGAAACAAACCATCCGCAAACCTGGGGAGCTGGCTGAAGCCACAGCCTGACCGGCAGCCACTCCCTCTCAGCCACTCGCAGGTTCCCCCAGCTGTGAGCCCAGCCTCTAGGGCAGTGATGGCGAACCTTTTGAGCTCGGCGTGTCAGCATTTTGAAAAACCCTAACTTAACTCTGGTGCCGTGTCACATATAAAAATTTTTTGATATTTGCAACCATAGTAAAACAAAGACATATTTTTGATATTTATTTTATATATTTAAATGCCATTTAACAAAGAAAAATCAACCAAAAAAATGAGTTCGCGTGTCACCTCTGACATGCGTGTCATAGGTTCGCCATCACTGCTCTAGGGACTACTCCCTGCTGCCTCCACCCCTGCACACTCTCCTCTCGGGGTCCCCCTGACCCCATGCTCTCCCGGTCACCTCTCTGCTGGCTCCTTAGGCTTCTCCATGGAGTCTGTTTCCTCAAACTCGAATGTCAGTGACTCCTGGAGCTTCTTCCTGGCCCTGGCCCTGTGCTCGCCCTGTGGGACCTTGTCCATTTTTTGGCTTCAGTTACCGGCCAGCACACAGGCATGCACATTTCTATCTTGGGCTTGACTCTCTCCCTAACTGTGCCCTTTTATGTCCCCTGCTCTCATGGGCAGGTCCACCTGAATGTCCCTCAGGCACCGCAGTTGCTACTCGTCCCAGTCTGACTCACCGTAGATGCCTAAATCCCTCCCCTCTCCCCCATCTCATTTCAAATTCAAGCCTCACCATCTGCCCAAGTGCCCAGACCCACCTCTCCCTGAACCTCCATGTGGTACCAGAGTCATTATCTCCTGCATCCCTGCCACCATGTCCCTGAGTAACCAAGGCAACCTTTGACCCGGCCCTGCTGCCTCTAAGCCCTGCCCTGATGCAGCCCGTGTGACGTTTGTGGAACTCAAATGAGATGTGACTGCTGCCAGCCTCCCTCGTGCCCCCTCTGTTGACCAGACCCAGGCGCCGGTGCTCCCCCCTACAGAGTGTTGTACATGCCATTTCTTCTGTTCCGACTTGGACACGAATCGGGAAACAAATGCCAGCCCCCAGGTCCCAGGACGGCCACCAGGAAACCTGACCACCTCCCAGATCCCCTCCTCTGTCCACCAGTGGGCGGGCTGAGGTGAGAGAGACAGGCTGGGCCACACAGAACTGAGCAGAGATGGAGCCTCCATTGGCCAAAGAGGGGACACAGCTGTTCCTTATCTTCCCAAAGACACTCTTAAAAGATTTTCTCCAAGCTCTTAATTAATAAAGAGAGAAGCGAGGATTTTACTGTCCAGGCTGTGCTTTCAAACTACTCTATCATCCCCCCATTACTCGCTCAGCCTCACAAAAACAGTTATATTACCAAGTACCTTTTAAAAAACGTCCTCGTGATGGGGATGTCGCAGCTACTTGTTTATCTCCCAGCTGCAAGGACCTCACAGGTCACCCAAGTCCACGCACAGCAGAGCCTTATCGGCCAGGGGCCGGGACGTCCAGCGGCCGGAGGTGGGGAAAGAGGCCAGAGCAGGGGACCTGTCTCCGGGCCGAGGTCTGGTGGGCACTCCTCAGAGCCAGCATAGCCAGCCGGTCAAGCCAGGCCTCAGCTGCCCGCCTCTCGGGTGGAAGTCACGGACGGGATGGTGGGGAAGGTACTCGGTGTGGGAGACGGAGGGGTCGTCTGGTTTTGCAGGACAGGGAACTGAGGCTCAGGAAAGTGAGGGCACTTGTTCTGGTCCCACGCTTGCTGGGCAGCAGCCGCTCAGAGGTTCTGATCCGGACCCGGTCTGCACAGCCCACGCGAAACCCATTGAACCTAAAAACAGGAACTGAACACACACTGGGGAGAGGAGAGGGGGTTATTATGAGCTGTTTCCAAAGAAGGAATAAATCCTGTTGTGGGATCCATTATATGCACGGCCACATTTTCATGACTAGCCTGGATTTCTCTGGGTCCACTTATCTTTTTATAGTTTGACCTTTACACAGGAAAAACCTCAATGGTTTTCCACTGTTTTGGATGAGCTGAAATGGATGTATTTTTCTTAATGATTAAAGAATGAAAAACAGCCTGTCACCAGGAGTAACTTTCCCTGGAAGAAGGGCTCACAAAACTACCCCTCGGGATGGGCTCTCGCAGCTGTTTATCTTCCGGCTGCAAGGACTCCACTGCCCAAGGTCTACCCACAAGGACAGGGCTTCATCCTGGATTCAGGAGTGGGGACAGTCACCCCACCCGGCCCTCAGAGTTACCCAAACTCCAAAGGCCAGCACAGGAACGAGCGGCCCCACAGGGAGCTGATGGGTCAGTGAGAGCATCGCCACCACCTTCCAGGGCAGTGGTTCTCAACCTTGGCTGCACATTAGAATCACCTGGGAATCTTTTTAAAATCCTGATTTCTGGGCCTCATCCTCCAGAAATTCTGTTTCTTTGTTACTAATGTTGTGGCCCCACCCCATAACAAAGAAACAGAATTTCCAGAGGATGAGGCCCAGAAATCAGGATTTTAAAAAGATTCCCAGGTGATTCTAATGTGCAGCCAAGGTTGAGAACCACTGCTCCAGGGCATCACCTGAGCTGAGCCCAGTGGGTCCACCTGTTGTCAGAGAGCAGGCATTGCACACAAGCACTCCGCCCCGAACTGGAGCGAAGCAGAGGGTGACATGAGAAAAGCATCCACAGCCCAGCTGGTGTGGTTCAGTGGTTGAGCTTCGACCTATGGACCAGGAGATCACGATTCAATTCCCAGTCAGGGCACATGCCTGGGTTTCTGGCTTGATTCCCAGTGGGGGGCATGCAGGAGGCAGCCGATCAATGAGTCTCTCTCATCATTGCTGTTTTTCGCTCTCCGAAAAAAAAAAAAAGTGAGTACATAGTAGGTGCTCAATAAACATGGTTCTGTTCCCTCTTCATGAGCTGAAACTTTCCAAAGCACAACCTCCTGACATGTATCATACACGTATCATACACGCCTTCTTAACCAACATGGATGGAATATTATTTCACCCTGTCTTCCTAGCTGGGGGCTCCTATTTACAGAAATATGGCAATCATACAGTATCAGTCTTGAGTGGGAATCGGGAGCGTGCCCAGGCCAATTTCTCACCGTGATGATCTCACACATTTGAGATTTGCAGAGATGCTTACCTTGTGCTTTTTCTCTTGGTTTGGTTTTTATTTTATTGAAACCAAGTTACGACGTTTGTCAGAACCGTGTGTTAAATGAAAGCAGTTGGCTCTGAGTGAGGGCTTCGAGTCTCTCCTTACAAAACAAAGCATGCTGGAATCGGAGGTGCTGTGGCCGCCTTCAACTGCTCAGAGCTGCTTTCTGTTTACTTTTGGATTCCAGCTCTGCTTTCCTGATCTTAACCTTTATGTGTGTTTGGTGTTTGGTGGTTTGACCACTTGTAGGACTTGGCAGCTGTCGTCGGGTGCTGCGCTGAGGGCCCTCTGAGTACTGTCGTTAGTCCTCGTGAAGCTGAGTTGGGGGCTTGGCGGCCTCTTCGGGGCCTTCTCAGCCTTTATGCTCACAGTCCGCAGGGGACAGGCAGGACTTGCCTGAACGCCCCACTTCTCACACAGCGTCAGGGAGGCCGTGAGGCTTGCTCGACTGGGGGACTAAGCTCAGCCCCTCTCCTGTGGGTGTAAAACCTGTGTCAAGGTGGGAGAGGGAGCTGGTGGGCCCCTCGGCCTCCAGGGCACGACATTAACCACGGTAATCACCACCACAGCCTCCGTTAGCTCTGCGCCAGGCACTGGGCAGAACTGTGTGCACTTTACCTCAGGACCCCGAGATCTGGTGTCACTGAGGAACTGTTCAAACCCTTACTCGGGAGATGAATAAAACCGAGGTGCAGGGAGGAAACCTGACCTACCCAAAGCCTCTCACCAGGCATGAGAGCTGCTGCCATGTGCGCTCTCCTCACGTCGGACACAACTGCCCCAACACAGACCCAGCTTGGGCCAGACATAGGGACCCACAGGGCCCTACCTTGGCCAACGGTGATGTCTTGTTCGCAAATGCATCCCTCCTCCTGGCGGCTTGATGGCCCTCTGCCCTCACTGCACCCAACCCCCAGGCTCCCCGACCTCAGGAGCCTCCTTGAGACGCTGCCCACCTGGGCCCAGGGCTCCATTTCTCAGGAAAGGCATTCTCTGCAGGGCAAACGATCCCTCTAGAGAGCGTTCCAACAAATGCTGAATGAAACACAAAGGGTCTTTAGAGCAGCACAGGAATCTGCACTGAGTAACTGAGGACAAAAGGCAGCTGCAAACCAGCTGGGAAAACACAGTGCCTGCTCCAAGCCCACCCTGAAGCCTGCTGGGGGGACAGGTCAGCTTTCTCACTGCGGGTCCCACCCCCCACCACCATCCCTCCCCCCCCGCCACCGCGCAGGGCCCACCTCCCACCCTCGGGACCGCTGACAGGGCCCGGCCCACAGCAGAGCCCCTGATGAGCACTCCATCCGAAGGGCCATGACTGGTCCCTCTAAAAAGAAGCCCAGCGTTAAAACTGTATTTATCCACCCAATGCTTCATAACTGCCCACGGCCCCTGGGCAGGTCCATCCAGGGACTCTCCACCAATAAAACTGGCAGATCTGGTTATTGTCATCCAGAGCTCCGAAAAGGCTCCCACTAAGTCGTGAGTGGTATTTGTCATTTTGTGGATATTTCCCCCCTTGTTAGTTTGTGGGTTATTATCTTCCAACACTCACTGCGTGGCTCTAGTAGCAGGCAGACACCCAGAGATGCCGAGAATCTGCCCCTACTCTCCTGACTTCTCAACCCAGGGGGGACAGCTACGCCTGAGTTCTTTTTGTGCAAAATGGACCAGGCACGGCCTAGGCAGACCAGAGAAACAGAACACCCGAGGACGCTGAACACCGGGGTCCTGGGCCGTGGCCTTGGCTTGCTCGCCACGGGAAGTGATTCACTCAGCAGTAATCTGATGGGATCGGAGCCACCCCGGTTTCACCCAGATTTTAGTGGATGTGTCTGTCATTGTCACCCAAGCCTAGCCTCTGGCAAAAAAATTTCAAAACCCATCTCTTCCTTTCTAAATATTTTGAAAACATCTCCCCCACTTCCCCAGAAGCTTCCTCCGCCTCCCTTGCTTTTATAAAACCACAAATAAATACTCACGAATTGGTATCCTATGTCCACTTCAGTAGCTGAACCTGTGTTATTCTGTTTCCCTTTTCACCTGGGGTTACAGGAAGCTCAGACCTAAATTCAGAGCTTGGTCACAAAAGCTATTCTAATTAGAAAACTTGTATTCTCTTTTTTTACTGGGTTCTCATTTCCCAATTCTATTTTACGGTAATACATCACTGTCATATCTTTTGTTATAAACCTTCACAAATATTTTTTGATAAGAGGAGGAGAATAAATGAAGTCAATTTTTAAAAGGAGTACTCTCAGAGTATGCTTTCAAAAGAGATTATTGATCATTTAAATTATCCTTGTCCAAGGAAGATGGCTTTCTTTAATTTATGCCAAGAGCAGGGTTTTCCGCATTTCCATGATACTGCCTCAGACGTGAATTTGGTAAATGGATGGGACAGTTCTCATTGCCAACGTTTTATTTTCCTTTAAATGCCCCGAGCAACCTATGTGTGAATCAATGCATCTTCCCAAGCTACAGTTATGGCTCAGCAATAATTATAATGTGCCTGAACCAGCACTTCAAATGTCCCCTTTAATCTTTCTTGATCCTTTTCTGGCCCCCACACCCCGATCTCCCTGAGAATGAATCTGAAGACCATATTAATGAGCAAACAGCCTGGAACACCCATCTGATTTTAGAGGCTGCCCTCCGGCAAGCCTTAAATCCTCAGCCTCCACCACCTGCCCCCGTGCCCTGATGTTCTGCCCTGAGCACCTTTCATTCCTACCAGCTGATTGTGTGCAGCAAATGTTTGTAAATGTCGGCGTGGCCCGTGTCTCCTCCACGCTACAGTGAGCTTCCGCCCCCTGAAACTGTGTTTTCTGAGTCTTTTGTGTCTCCTAATGGTGCCTGGAACATTTTGCACATGATAAGGAACTCAAATAAAATGAACAATAAGCGTCCCCAACCAGCGAGAGCTTTTTACGAGGCTCTCAATGAAAACACTGAACCGCGTCGACGTCTGATACAGGCAAACATCTGGAGATGCCAGTGGCAGATGCCCAATTATGCTGAGGCTGATGAATGGGCACGAAGTTATTTAGGGCTGGTGAGCATCTCTCAGCTGGGCCTGCTGCTACCGTGGTGACAGGCTTCCCCCTGCCCAGGGCACAGTCCTGGCAGGGAGAGGGCTGGGAAGGCTTGCTCATCCTCCCCCAGGCCAAGCCATCGCAGCTGACTGACACCAGGGTCTGCTGCCCTGTCCCCCAGGAGGAGGAGGGTGGGTTAGATTTATTTTCTCATTCACTTTTCCATTTCACAGAAATATCCTGTTTTCCAGACGAAAGTGTTAATTATACCAGAGGCACCATCAAATGGCACTAAGTGATAACTAGATGTTAGGAGGTTGACATGTATATTGTTTCAAGCAGCTCCATGATTTATTATCTAATTTAGATAAACGGCAAATAGTGATATCATAATAGCCCCCTTTTATTCTGGTTTACGCCTCATTGTCTCTGGGTAGAGAATAAGAAATGAATCATCCAACAGGCTCCAAGGGCTCTAGCGTCAGACCCAAGAGACTTCGAATCCCAGCCCGGCTGCTGGCCACGGGCAAGAGCTGTGACTGCTGGGTCTTCTCAGACCCTTTTCGAGCCTCAGGGCTGAGGCCTGGGTGAGGCAAGGCACAGGGCACTGTGTCGGCATGAAGGTCGTACTGCCGGTATTAGTTGTCGTTAAGTGCTGGGCGGAGAGAGAGGATGACTTTGATTTCCACTCTCAGGGTGGGGCCCAGCGGGGAGAGGCTAAGGCGTCCGTGTCAGCCTCTGAACTGTCCCCTCCGAGGAGGGGGAGTGAAGCGGGGGTTTCACACGGAAGGGCCGGGGGGGGGGGGGTGCCATCGTGCGGCTGAGCGGGCATTCTCCAGGGCCCGTGCCATGTTTACTTACGGTTCTGAAAGAGGAAAAGGGCTTTCAGGCCACATGCTTTACCCCAAGTCACCATTTTCATCTGCGTGCAGCTCGGTTCACTCATAAGGCCTCGCAGACAGAATGATCTGTGCCTCTCCGCCGTGAGCGACACCTGGCCAGGCAGTGGCAGGGCCACGGGCACCGTGCAGTCCAGGCCAGCGGGACGGAAGATGTGGGGCGGCCCTGCGTCCCGAGGCTGCGACCCAGAACCTCGTCCAAACACCTGCCATGGGAAAGAAACCCTGCAGTCCCCACCCACTGGTAGTGCCTTAGAAATAGGTCTTCACCCAAATGCTACAGATGCCACAGAAGATAAATCTCCAAAGTTAAACATCAAACCAGGAGGACAATCCCACACTCTGGGAGTTGCCAATATCAGGGTGAGAGCCAGCTTCTACCCCAGCGTGGCCCGCGGGGCCCTGAAGTCTGGACACGTGACTAGGGTAACGGGACACTCAGGGCTGCCCCACTTCTGCTGCTGCCAAGGATGAGGTCTCCCACACAGTGTCCAGGTCACTGGAGTGGCCCTGCCAAGTACTAGTGCCCGTCCATTTCCTGCGGAAAGCTTTCTTTTCTACGTTATATTCTTGGAAACAGTGTCTCAGGCTGTTGTGACACCAGATTCTATACTGGGCAGGGCTGCAAACATGACCGGGGGGCAGGGGCACGGGTGACTCCCGCCCTCCTCCCTGAGGGGACCCTGACTTGTCTCTGCAGTCCTGCTCCTGCCGGTTCCTTGCCAGACCCTTCGCTGCCCCACCCCCTGCACCCTCGCCCTTGCCTTTGCTAAGCTGTGGTCACAGGGATTCCAGGAGAAAGCAGAAACCAGGTGAGGTGCTGCGGCCTCACCAGGAAGGACTGGTGCTGCCTGCAAATTAAGTGCATGGGCTTTCGGACAGCTCTTCCCGGCCCTCTGCCTCCTGTGTCACCTCTCTAGCCACAGGCACTCCGTAAGTGCTGTCACAGAGAAGGGGGGCCTTCTCTTCGTGACAGGAAGATGGGGTGAAGGATTTCAAAACCAGCCCAGCCCTGGTTTTTAAAGGAGTTGGGGTAAATTATCATGCAAACAATCAAACATTGGCAAGTCCATTCATTTCAAATGTTTGTTTTCCGTAAAGAATTAGGCTTGGAAAGAAATTAATCACACCAAATCCACTTCCAAAATGCTTACAGCTCCCATGATCACGAATAATGATTAGAAGAAAAGACTTAAAAATCCTGGACGTTGAGAGCTCGTGTTTGGTATTTAACGGATTCAACCAGCCTTCCTGACACCAAGAAATAGCATCCCTCCAGGGCAGTGGCTCAGTCTTCGCGTTTTCAGGCGTAAATGAAGACAGAGGTAGTGGTGAGGCCAGGGCACTTTCGTTTACCCGGAGCTCAGTTCCTACCTGCAACAAATTTACACTGGTGTCTGCTATGAGCCAGGTGCTGTTCTGAGTGTCACAGATCCAACTGTGAGCAAAACAGACATAACCCCTGCCTTCATGGGGCTGTGCCTTCTAATGCAAGCCGAAGGACAGGATGGAAATGCATAATGTGTTCAGTGGTGATGTTTTAGAAAGAAAAATGGAGCAGGATAAGGAGAGAGGGTGATGGAAGGGAATGTTATTCTGTACAGAGTGATACAGGCTATTCCAAGGAGGTGACATTTAAGTAGGGACGTGAAGAGAGTGAAGAAGTGAGCCACGTGGGCATTCGAGGGCAGAAAACTACAGAAAGAAAGGACCTGGGGTGGGAGGGGCATGGCACTTGGTGTACTGCACCCTGATACAGCGTCTACAAATCCACTCTCCAGCCTCAAGAGGGAAAACTAGCTCATCATCATTACAGAACAAAGCCTCCTCGCCAGCAAGTCAGCAGAGTTCCTCTCAGTCCTGATGAGCCATTCTCGCCTTTCTCAGCATCTTCCTGGAAGCCTCCTAATTCAGCACACTGACTTCCCAGGGGAGATGCATTCCAGCTGGGGGTTGCATTCCCGACTGAGATACCAGCATCCAATGAAGAAAGGCTCTGACCAGCCAGTGCCTTAAACACTCAGTCACCCCCCACAGTGCCCCATAATAGCCAGACCACTGGGAGGAAGCCCCACACCTTCACCACTAGCATGCACGCGCCTCCACTGCCGTCACTGACCTCAGGGGGGCCCCACTCTGCGGGGCTCCTGCAGCCGGTGCCAAGATGAAAAGCCTGACTGAATCATGATTCTGGCCCGAAGCTTGTCCTCAGATTATGACAGATGTGCATGCCAGAATCATCTTAGCACCGGATGCAGCCCCACAAATGACTTTTGTTTTCCGGATCAGAGGAAGGTCACCAGCCAGCCCTGGTGCAGGAGAAGGGGTGTCGGAGGAGCTCTCAGGCAAGTCTACGAGGCAGGCTCCTGAAGCTAAGGGAATCTCTGGAACGTTGTTGGCTCCTAGTGGCCTTGGTGAGTTTGCAGAGAAGTGTCTGCTGTGGGCCTGGGATCACTGTTCGTCAGCTAGGCTGGCAGTGGAAGAAGGAGGGGACAGAAACTTCAATCCAATCCAAAAGTAACAGATCCAGTCACCAGCACCCAGTAACCTGATTATTTGGCCTATGTGACTCCCAAACCACCAGTCAGAAGAGAAATTCTTTCCCACTCTGAACTGATCCTGTACAGGAGCTGAGAGTCTTACACCCTCAGGCACAGGAGGGCAGGAATGGCCAGCCCTGAATCTCTCAGCTTCACTTTGAACAGGGCAGCGTTGCGGTATCTAGGCACCTTTGTCAGGATTTGAAGGATGTGACCATGACAGGGTGAGGCTGCAGGTGTGCACACGGCCAGTCTAAAAGGTGCCCCCATCTGTGCTTGAAGCACAAGAGTGTGTGTACCTACAATATGGTACTGAAAACCTTTGTCTCTTCCACTAATTTTTAAAAATATATATATTTTATTGATTTTTTACAGAGAGGAAGGGAGAGGGACAGAGAGTTAGGAACATCAATGAGAGAGAAACATCGATCAGCTGTCTCCTGCACACCCCCTACTGGGGATGTGCCCGCAACCAAGGTACATGCCCTTGACTGGAATCGAACCTGGGACCCTTCAGTCTGCAGGCCGACACTCTATCCACTGAGCCAAACCGGCCAGGGCCTAATTTTTTTTTTAATGTCAGAAAGTGCAGGTTGATTTTTGTCTGAGTCTATTCCAACTGCCACTGTTTTCTAACTCATTGGACCAGCTTCTGTATCTTGATAAATGTTACTTGAAGCCACCATATTGAATTAGGAGCTGATTATATCTGATTTACCATCTAATAGGGTTAGGTCCATTTCCTGGGATATAGCAGAAGGGCCTGATGGTCCCCAAGCTGACCCATAATTACCTCTTAAAGTTAGAGCCCAAATGGGTCGTGTCAACAAGGTCTCCAACTAAAGGGGGGACACCCCAACAGAGCTACATAGGACTAGACAAAAAGCACCATGATTTCTGGTACCTCAACAGAGCCCTTGACCCTCACCCAGGACCACATCACCCCTGATGCATGTATCTGAGGGTGGCCCCCTTCCAGTGGCCACTTGCGGAAGGCAGGAAGTGGGACCAAGAGGCTCTGTGACAGGGTGGATTGAGAAGAGCTCTTGTTTCAGAGTCAGATGGACCTGGGTTCAAACCCCAGCTCCTCCACTGTGATCTTGGGCTGTAAGCTTTTCCTCTTTGGGCCTCAGTTTCCTCACCGATAAAATGGTGAAGACACTAGTAGAGGCACTGCTGTGGTGTAAGTGGGGAGGTGTGATGACATCAGGAACCTGGCCTTAGCCCCATGGAGCCAGGGGCTTCAGAGCATCGTGGACGTCACTGACACACCCACTTGTAACGAGGTGCTCCGCTCTGGCCATGATCCCTACAGAAGCAATGCTGATACCTGGCCACTGGCTGAATCTTCCAATGAAAGAGGACAGGTAACCCGGCAGTCAGGACAAAAAAACAGCTGACTGGGCCCAGTGGGTGTGGCTTAGTGGTTGAAGCAGGAGGTCACGGTTTGATTCCTGGTCAGGGCACATGCCCGGGTTGTGGGCTCGATCCCCAGGAAGGGGTATGCAGGAGGCAGACGATTGAAGATTCTCTCTCATCGCTGATGTTTCTATCTCTCTCCCTCTCTGAAATCAATAAAAATATAAAAAACAAACAAAACAAAACAAAAAAAGAAACAGCTGATTTGGCTCCAAGTCCTCTAAGAAGAATGGGGGCCGTCACCACGCCCCCACATTGCAGTCAGCTGGCTCTGGGGGAGCCTGGACCTGGAGGATCCGTCTATGTCAGAGTCCCCAAGATGGGATGGTTGACACATAGCTCTCTGGACCCCATGGTACTAGAAGGGATCCCATCCAGTCCCATTCCCCTCCCTCCCAGGTAGCAACGGTGTTGGGGGTGGGGCGGACCCCAGGGACTAACATTCACAAATGAAGCAAGGAGGTGGCCGGATGTGCCATGGGGAAGTGGTCCCTCCTTCCTCGTCTCGCACCTCCACCCTGAACCCAGAGTAGGAGCCCTGGTGGTAGCAGAGGCCAGCAGGGCCTCAGCCTGCAGCCCAGCCAGGCCTGACTCTGAATCCTGAAGTGACCCGGAGGGACAGTTTATTCCTTCGGTGTTTGAATGACAGTCCGAGAGCTGTGAGGCACAGGGAGGGGCTCTGCGGGCCTGAGGAGCCCAAAGGATCTGCTCTCTTTGTTCAGAGCCAACAACTACAGGCTTAGTGTTTAAAAACGTCTGAGTCAACAGAGGGACTGTTTATCAATATTTAAAAACAGAAATGTAATTAGAGGCTGGCGAACCCCCAGAGCTCCTGGCCACGATGTCAAAGGCTTCCTTGACCCGGAGCCGGGAACAGCATGCACAGCGACCGCAGACACGGTCTGCCACAGTGTGCTCAGCCGCAAACCCCACGGACAGGCGCCCACCAGGGCTCATAACGGAGTCTGTGGCTAATGGAATGGCATTTCACATGTGTGCGCATTTTTTCATTCCTAGGTGGTTTTTCTTTCTAAACTTGGTAATCTGGGCATTCTATTTTAAGAACACTAATTACTGCCCAATGTTAATGTAACTAATGTGAACAAAAAAGCCCAACTTTGAACTGAGGAAAGGAAACACAAGTAATTTATGGGGTAATTTTGTGTTCATGTCCCTCAAGATTGCCTGAGAACATGTGTCTAATGCATTTATTTCTGGTCAAGAGAAGTGAATAAGCAGCTTTTCGGTGGGTTCTGGAGAAGGAGGCGCTGGCTGGCCACATCTGCCTCAGAGACGCCGGCGCAGGCCACCTCAGGCCACCTCAGGCCAGGCTCCCTCCTCGGGCCTCAAAGAGGTAGTGTGAGGAAGGTAAAAATAGGGTGAGGGACTCGGCAACAGCTTTGACACATGGTTTTCTCATTCCCGGGACTGCCACATGCAGCCCTCCTTTTCCAGCTATTCTAAGTGAAAAAGAAATGAAGATTGTCTGAGAATGAAATAAAAACAGGGCTATAGTTTAGCCACCTTTTCTGCATTCTTCCACCTTCTCCCAAGGGCTCCTTTTGGCTCCTCTTTCCACACCAAGCCAAAAGTGGGATGACCCCAAGGTTCTACCCTTGACCCCTTTTCTCCTCTGCCTGCCCTCCTTGAGAACGGGCGTCTACAGCTGTGACTTTATCACGGGGTCCATGTGGTCACAGCCCTGCACGCTCCAGGCACCTGCTCGCCTCTTGGACGTCACCCCCGCCCCAACACACACACACCCAGGGGGCTCTAGGCTGCTGGTACAAAGCCCAGTGGGTGTGCGATCGAGGGGAGGGGTGAGAGCTGTAGAACTGAGCCTTGGAAGATGGGTGCCAAGTGGACCAACCGGGAAGGGTGTCCCAGAGTCAGGGGACAGCATGTGCGAAGGCATGGAGGCGTGAAAGAGCATGGCATGTTCCAGGAAAGTGAGCGCTACAGGTTGGGCTGTCAGAACGAATGAGTAGGAGGAAGGGAAAGGCAGAATTGAGGCTGAGGAGGGCAGGGCCTCACCTCTAAGGGCCCCCATGCCAGATAGGTGGGAAGATTTGTTCTGTGCTCGAAGGGAGGTCTGGAGGTGCTGGACCAGGGCGGAATGAATTCAGAGCTGGTCGTGTGGGAATCACGGGCCTGACATGGAGTGTGACGGAAGCGCTCAGATGCAGGCCTGGTGACGGCAACCATGCAGGAAGAGATGAGGTCAGGCAAGAGGGGAGCAGGGACTAGAAATGGATGCAGAGCTGTGAGGATTGACCTTCATTCTGGATAAGACGGGGTGAGGGTGAGGGAGGGGCCAAAGACAGAGCAGGGAGGGCAGGCTGGTCAGCTGGGCCCAGGGAACCAGCTCCACCTCCAACCTCCCCTCTGCCACTTTCAGGCTCTCTCTCTTCTTTCTTTAACTGCCAACAATACGACACCAAATACTTTTTAATTGCTTAATGTAGTTCCTTGTTTTTAACCTATAAAGAATGAGTAAATTGAATGGTTTCTATTTCCTCCTCAAGCAGAAAAGCAAAGTTACCTACAGTCTCTCGTGTATATGAATGTCTAGATTTTTTTTCTTGATGAATTAAAAAAAAAAAAAAAGACAATTCAGACTCCAGGATGAGGTTTGGTGAAGTCCCTTCGGTGCCCTCTCCGCCCCTGAGAGAGCCTGGGGCTCCCTGGGGGACCCTGACAGGACTCTACCTGTGGGATCTGCGGATCTTCCTCACAGCCAGAGGGCATGTTCTTAAACCCTGGGATGATGACATTTTGATAAAGTTTTAAAAACCGATTTCACTTTGCAAGACAAACAGCTAATAAAATAGATTCTTTTTTGGTAACCACCCATACAGCAATCAATCTGTCACTCGGAAGATTGTTTCCCGGGAGGTGTGAAATGAGGCCACTCTGGAGTTCTGTGGGAACAGAGAGCCCCCGGGAAGCCTTCCTTTCACCACCGAAAAGCAGGGAACCTCTCTGATTCAGAGCCCAGGAAAGACCCGGCTAATGAGCTGCTCAATCAATACCAACTTCTGGAAGGCAAGCAGGAGGCAACTGTCCCACTGTTTACATGCCGCCGGCCCATGTCTACCGTCACCTCGTTTCTCTTCAGTTGCCTCTGTTAATTTTCAATTCCATCCAATTGGGAGGGGGAAAAGTGTTTCCCACACAGAGGCTTGCAGAGAGTGGGGGAGGGAGGGAGCTCTACTGTGCTGTAGCCATTCAAGTAATAACTTAAAACAAAGGGTCATTTCGACACCACCAACAAAAGTCCAAGGACAAGCCTGGGTCATAAGACACCACCTGAGGCCACATCAGATAAAGAGAACTTCCCCTCACTCACTTTCTTCAGATTTGCTTGGTTGCCTCATGTTTTTCTACCTTTATTTTCCCTTAGTCATCATTTTCTCACTGCTTTAAAAAAAAGTCCCATTATGTTGTACATAGAACATAATTTCATCATCTTAAATCTTTTTTTTTTTTTGCAAAAGATGGACTAGAGATCTTAGTTACTCAGAACCTCCCTCAAAGCAGCTCTAACTGAAGAATTCTGCTATGTTAAACTTAGAAGGGAAGCAGGCTGCTGCAAGTACTGAACAGCAGTGTCTGCACACAGTAGGCCCTCAATAAATGTCAATTGTTTTTAATGATGGAATCTTAAAAGCCTTAGGAACAAATAAGATGAACTGGGAGATAACTACTTTGAAATAAATAAATAACCTAATATCACTAACAGAAACATATCAGAACACTGGTAAAACTATAAAAGAATTTTAAGACATCTGGAAGTAGTAGTTGGCATAACTAAAACAACAAAACGAAGAAATCCGTGATGTTGAGGATAAAATAAAACATCAAACCAGAAATGTAGACAAAGAAAACAAAATGAGGTTCAAATAACTGATTTGGAAATGGGAAATGGTATCACAGCCCTAAAATAGGAGAGAGAAATAAATGGAATGAGGCATATGATAAGGGAAACATCAGGAAAGAAATAATACAAGAAAAGTTTTCAGAGATGAAAAAATAGCTCATCCTAGAACTAAACACATGGTACCTTTCAAGTTTAACTCTAAGGGAAAAAAGTAAGCATTTGCTAAATTTTTGAATGATAAATTATCTGGCAAGCTAAAGTAAAGGGAGATTTGTTATTTTGGTTTTTTGTTAATTATCACTCACCCGAGGATATTTTTTCCACTGATTTTTAAAGAGAGTGGAAGGAAGGGGGAAAGACAGAGAGAGAGAAACATCGATGTGAGAGAGACACATCAATTGATTGCTGGGATTGAGCCTGTAACCGAGGTACTTACACTTGACCAGAAGTGAACCCGTGACCCTTAGTCCACGGGCTGATGCTCTAACCACTGAGCACCCGGCTAGGGCATTATTTTGAAATTGGATAAAATGACAAGAGAGTTGGCATCATAAATAGTGAAGATAAGATGAACCTCAGGAAAAAATGTGCAATTCTAACCACATATCAGTTATGCTCCTAAACAAGACTTGCTCTGAACAAGTAGAAGAAAACTAAGTCATTTAAAAATTGGGGCAAATTTGTGCACAGTTATACTTTTTAAAAACAAAGGAGAATGTCTGACTTTTTATAAAAATGTAAAAGACAAAAGCTGATATAGCATGACACTGGAATTAGAATGAACCAATTGAAAAAGAAAGAATAATACGTGATCTGAAATGTAATCACTCCGAAGACTTCACCTTCACTCTAATAATTCCCAAATCCTGATCCAGCCCAGTTCTCCTCTGAGTTCTAGGCCTGAATATCCCACGGTCATGTGGTCACATCTTATGCAAATATCCCTCAACACCTGCCTTCCCTCACCTCACCCCTGGTTAGTGAGCAACTTCAGTGCCCATACAGTTGTCTGAGCTGGAAACCTCTAAATTCATTCTTGGTCCTTTCCATGCTCCTCAAGCCCCCCCTCGATCTCATCCATCTGCATTCGTCTGCTGGGGCTGCCATAAAGAGAACCACAGGCTGGGTGGCTTAAACAACAGGAATTTACTTTCTTACAGTTCTGGAGGCTATAAGTCGAAGATCAAGCTTCTGGCCGATTTGGTTTCTGGTGCAATCTTTCTGGCTCGCAGTCTTCACATGGCCTTTCCTCCAGGGGTGTGTGAGGAGGTGGGAGCTCTCTGATGATAACTTTCAGAGAGGAAGGGAGAGGGAGAGATAGAAACATCAATGATGAAAAAGAATCATTGATCAGCTGCCTCCTGCACGCCCCCTACTGGGGATCGAGCCCGCAACCTGGGAATGTGCCCTTGATCGGATTTGAACCTGGGACCCTTCAGTCTGCAGGCCGACACTCTATCCACTGATCCAAACCAGCGAGGGCTCTCTGATGGGTGGGAGCTCTCTGATGATTGATTTCAGAGAGGAAGGGAGAGGGAGAGATAGAAACATCAATGATGAAAAAGAATCATTGATCAGCTGCCTCCTGCACGCCCCCTACTGGGGATCGAGCCCGCAACCTGGACATGTGCCCTTGATCGAATTTGAACCTGGGACCCTTCAGTCTGCAGGCCGACACTCTATCCACTGAGCCAAACCAGCAAGGGCTCTCTGATATCTTTCTTATAAGGATACTAATCCTATCAGATCATGGCTCCTCCCTTATGACCTCATTTCACCTTAATTTCTTTTTAGAGGCCCCATCTCCAAATATAGCCACACTGGGGGTTGGGGCTTCAACATATGAATGGGGGGTGGAGGGACAGTGCTGGTGGTAGAGCTCCTCTCACCAACCAATCCCTAGCAGTTACTCTGAGGTATTTCTTCACCCCACCTAAGGTCGTAACCAAATGCACACATCCATCTGAGCATCCCTGTCCAGCCATGCTTCTTCTCTTACCTTGGTTTTGGGGGTCAAGGGGCAACTCCTTCACCAGAGTTCAGTCAAGACCTTTCCCCAATGCCAGCAGCTGCTCCACACCCTCACCTCCAGGGACTTCTGCCACCCCAACCTAGTCTCAGATCTGCATGAAGTCTGCCCCTGACCTCAGCTGGAGGGCTGTGTGACTGCAAGTGTTACCAAACCTCTCTGGGCTTGAACTTTGCTGAAAGTAGCTGGCCCCAGCACCACCATGCAGATAAATCATCCTCGTAGGTGCCAGGCCCTTTGCAAACATTATTTCCAGCCCCATAAAGTCTGTGTTGTTATCCTTATTTCAAGAAAGTAGAAACTGAGGCTTGGAGAAATGCCTGGCCTGAGGCCATGACTTACTGGCCTCGGGAGCAGGCCGGTCTGACTCCACAGCTGTTTCTGCTGCCCAGGCGGTGTCTCGGGAGAGGCAGAGGCATCCAGGAACGTGGACCAAGCTCTGTGTGTCTGGGGACATGGACTTACTTGGAGCTGCACGTCCATCAGGGGTCAGCCCAGGTGCTGGTCTGTGGTCTAGGGGCCTGTGGGCTGGAGGCCCCTGGTGGACAAGCAGGCAGGCGCGTGCGTAGGACCATGGCTGGCTCTATGGACACTGCCTTGCTGTGCTGGGTACACGGCCCACTTTCCGTGCCCGCCCCCTCAGGCCTCCCGGCCCCACTCCCACTGCCTACTTAAGCAAGAGGCCCCGACTCCACTGGCTCAGGCACCGCCAGCTTCCAGGGTAGGAGAGCCGCGCTGCAGGCCTCGCGCCCGGGATGAAAGGTCCTTCTGTTTCACCAGTTCCTGCCGGTGCGTTTTGAATGATGCTGCTGAGCTGGGTGGTGGCGGGAGCTGATTCTGCTCACCTGGGAGGGGACTGAGACGTGTGGCTGGCAGAGGGAGGCTCTGGTGGAATTTTTCCCATTTTAATCCCTGACTTGATGTGATCTTATTTTCAAAGAGGGGGGAAGGCTGTAGTTTGTGAAAGGACAGAGGAGAGCACATATCAAAACAAGGTCTGGCTCAGAATATCAACGATCTGACATGTAATTTTAATGTCCTGTAATTTTAAGGTTGTGGAGATTCCATTTCCCCTCAGGAACCCCTCCCTAAATAGTTAGTTCCTGTCATTTAATTCTAATTTTAAAACACACACTGGGTATTTTTTCCAGAAGAGTTTGGTAAGGGAGCAAGGCTGGACAGCTAGAGGGGCCGGTTTGGGGGACAGTTGAGGGAATGTCCCTGACACACTCTCATTGAAATGAGGAGTGAGCAGAGGGCAGTGGAGCCGAGTTGCACAGGCCGGATGGCTCAGGAGAGGCCTGCCTCTTCACAGGGGTTGCCAGCCTGTGGTCTGAGGTCAGGTGAGCCCAGCAAGAGGGTGAAGGACAGAGGTTCATGCAGGTTGCAACCCTGGCAGATGTCGCAGGGACAGGGACAGGGACAGGACCTCCCCTGGAGGCCAGGACAGCAGCTACCCTCTGACCTCTCAGGAGGCTGGGCTCCCAGGCTGTGGGTGGGAGAGACACCTACCTACCAGATGCTTAACTCAGAGGAAATAAGCCAGGGTGCCCACACTGAAGCAAGGGCCCGTAGGGGAACACAGGTCACCTCGGGTAGAGCTAGGACCTCGGAGCTCCGACTTCCTTCCCCACCCTCACCTGGCAGCACCAAGTACCCATGCTCATTTGGTCCTGGCCGTGGCCATTCAAGACTTTGTAGTGACCCCCAGGATTACAGGGGAGGGGGCATCTGAGACTCACAGGTTAAATAACTCGCCCAACACCATTCATGACTGGAACCCACGTGTCACGGGAGCTTTTCTGTATGGATTCCTAATCAGGAGGGCACCAACTGTTTGCCAAGTGAGGAGTCACTCCTTCCAGTCATTCTGCAAACATCTCTGGCTTGGGGGGCAGAGGGACTGGGACTCCAGTTTCAGATTCTTCTGAAACACTTAGTTTGGGTGACTTTACATAAAGAACAGGGAATGGTCCAGTGATGAGCTGGGGTGGGAACAGTCTCCCTACCTGGAATGTGGGATGGTTAGAGGGCTTTGGGCAGGCAGCAGAACTGGCTGGAGAAGGTGGAGAGCCAAGGAGCGCCGCCCGGGAGCCCTCGGCCGATGGGGGCTCAACTTCCAGGGCCTGAATCCAGGGATCAGGGCCAGGAGCTAAGATAGGCTGGAAAGTTGGGGTCTGGACTTAGGACTGGGCTAAAGAGCCTGCACTGTTTATCTGAAGCCAAAGGGCAAGCTCAGAGGGTTGCCTGGGCCAGGAATCAGGGGGTGGGACCAGAAATCACGCAGGGCCGACACCTGAGGTCAGGGACCCAGCTAGAAGGGTGGGGCGGGCCAGACAACAGGACCAGCCTAAGAGCCCCCAGTGGGGCACCAGTGACTTGGGCAGAGATCTCGGACTGAGTTTGTGAGTGATGCGGGAAGCTGATAGCAGCCTGCCCTGCCACCCCCCTCCACCTCCGCTGAGCCTCTCCTTCCGAGTCCTGTGTACTTCCCCTCCCTTATCTGCTGCCAAATCCCCCTAGTTCTTCCTCCCCACAGCCTTCCTCCCCCACCCCACCCTGTCCAGTCCTGGTAACCACTGTTCCCCATCCTGGGCCTGGCTCAGTTTTCCCCCCACGCCAGGTCTCCCCTGGGGAGAGCTCTGGTTGTTCTGGCTTCACCTATCAGATCAAACCCAGGCCCCGCGGCAGGAGCTCTGAATTTGCCTCTCCCCTCCCCCACCCCACACGCTTCCGCCCGCTGCCCGACCTGTCCAAGTCAGTCCCACAAACCTCCCTTCCCACCCTCTCTGGCTGCACTAAGTCCACGGGGACAGCGGGGCCCACACCCTCTCCTCGGCGACATGGAGGGTGCGGCAGTGCCTCCTGCAGCCCGGGCGGGGCCCCTGGGCCATTGTACCCGGCTCACCTGTGCCGGGCTGTTCTGCTGCGGGTTGAGCTCCAGCCGCCTCTATAAACCGCTCATCATCTCCTTTCAGGTCCCTGACCCCACAGTGACGTCCACTCTTCAGACAGAAGGAAAAGAAGGTCCCATCGGCCCAGCCTCAGGTAAGACAGGGGCTCCTTAAGTAATGTTTTATTTAAGCGGTGCTGTGTGAGATTGCTTCAGAAAAGGTTCTGCTGCTGAGTTAAAAAGTCTGAAAACACAGCTCTGGGCTCAGCAATCGGGCAGGCAGTTCGGTCCTATTCCGAAGCAGGCCTCCTGTGGAATACAATGCCCGCAGAGGGTATGCCTGATACACCCGAGATGGAGAAAATACAAACTCCTACAATGGGTAAAAAAAGCATTGAGGCAGCACTTCACAAAAATGAAGGAATACAATTTAAGTATCCAGTAAAATGGAACCAGATATCATTACCCAATAAACTTTTAAATTTTATTTTAAGGCTAAAAGCCAGAGCTGGTAGGGATGCTATGAAACAGACACTCTCAAACGAGTTGGGTGGAGAGCAGTTTGGCAATATATATCAGAAGCTTTAAAGTTTACCTGGTAATTCTACTCTCGAATCCATCAATAATTCAAACTTCTGGGCCATTCTCAGGAATAAAAGCAGAAACTAGCAACACAGAGACCCCGACAATGGGGAACCTCAGTCCAGGAACCAGGACAGCAAGACCATTATAAGAACCTTCCCCTTCCCAAATGTTGGCAAATTAAAATTTTTTTGAGGGGGGGTGTTGCCAGGCTGGGGGTAGAGAGTTTTGAGGGCCCACGGTGATGGTGACTGGAAGGAAGAACAGAAGAGGAGGTGGATGAGGCTGGCAGTCCACAGGGAGGGGGAAGAGACTGGGATCTTCACTGAGGCCTCAGTGAGAGTGGGTGACAAATGTCACCTTCAGGGGACTGGACAAAAGTGGTGAGGATCTTGTTTTGTGGAACTTGAGGGGGAAGAACAAGCAGAACAAGGGAGATAGCGCCGGGTCTTTTGTACTCTTCCCTAGGAACTTGTCCTGGGTTAGGGACCTTGGTTCTGGACAGCACTCATTTACATAGTTTGAATATGTTTGCATATCATTTGCATTCACCCTTGCTGAGAAAGGTAGAGAGAAAAGGGAAAATCGAGTCAGGTGACCTCATCAGTGTGAAGAGCACATTCTGCGAGGTGTGTGCTGTGTGACATCTGCTCAGATGTCCCCAAGAAATGGATCTGTTAGTTCTGCTTGTCTGATGCTCATTTCTAGTCTCCCACACTTCGTTGCCATGGACTGCCTCATTGCTGTGCCCCGCCTCACAGGGACGGAGAAAGGAAAGGAGGGAGGGAATGAGTCTGAGGTCTTGAGCAGGCTGCTGGTACCCAGAAAGCTGGGTTGCTAAAGCCACCCTGGCTGGACTCTAGGTTTGCTGGGGGCAGGGCTGACACTTGACAGTCAGTCATCCAGGTTCCTATTATCGCCCACTATGTGCACAACACACAGCTAGGATCAGGTGATGGGATGGAACACTTGAGTGCCTGCAAGAGGATGCAGAATTAGAACTCAGATCTTGACTTTCCCAGGACTGGAGGTTAAAGTGATTGGGTGAGCACTTCACCCCCTACTCCCCGAGCTCCAAGGCTGCTGGTGTTGGCCATGTGGGCAGAGCCCCTGATCCTGCAGAGACACCCCATAGGGCCACACATAAGGCTCTCCCTCTTTAGTTTTGAGGGAAGAAATAGACCAACACTGCTGGAGCCTCCTTTCCCTCAGTCCTGTTTCTAGCTGGGTAGAGCTGAAGGTATGAGGGGCTGGTCACCTTTCTGGTGTGCAGACTGCAAACATAATAAATGCACGAAAACTGCCATCTGTCCTAAGAGAAATGGCCTGCTTAAGCCAAGGCCCCTAATCATCCCTGGGGCCATAGAGGAGGGGACTGGTGGGGTTTGGCGAAGAGACCATCACTGTGACTTCCAAACCTTAAGCCCCTCTGCTGAGGCCTTATCCCTTCACACAGATGAGGGTTGTGAGGGAACAGCCCCAGCAAAGGCATGGAAGACTAGGAGGGCATGGTGGGAACTGTGCAGGTCAGGGCCCTGGGACTCTAGAAGCAGGAGAGGAGCAGAGCCATCAGGCTGCTGGGTCTAGCCTGCCCTTTCCTACCCTTTCTTCCCTGCCACATGCATCTTCCTGGGGGCAGCTGGGGCCACTGAAGAGTTTAACGGGGGAGCAACGTGGTCCGACGTGGAGCATAGAAAGATCCTACCAGCTTCCAGGTGGGCCACAGGGCGGGGGGAGGCCAGCTCAGGGAGACCAGATGGTGGCTGTTGCAGTATGTAGGTGGGATGGTGAGGCTGGGCCTGGGCCTGGCAGGACCTGGGAATGGAGACAAGGGGTTAGGGAGGCAGAACAGTGGGCTGGTGAGAGGAGGCAGGGTATGGAGGACTGCTCAGGAGACAGAGCAGGTGTTGGAGAAGTGGAAGAAGAAGAATGAACTTTTAGGGGGAGATGAAGAGCTGTCCATCAAACTCATGAGGTCAGAGATTAGGAGAGACACCTGGGCTGGCTGTCATCTGGAAACAGGTGACTCAAAAGGGGTCAACAGAGAAAAGAGAGAAGACGCAAGGGAAGGTCCAGCTCCTGAAGGGTGTGCAGGGGAAGAGGGGACGAAGGGCTCTGAGAAGGAGCAGTCTCAAGTGCAAGAAGGGAACAAGAAGGAGGAGAGACAGATAAGAATCAAGCAGCTTAAGCCTCCTGTTGGGCCTATTTCTTAAAGCAAATCTGGTTGAAACTGAACAGACTGGTTTCTCATTGATGCTGACCTCTGTTCTGTTCATTTTCTTTCCAAAACTTTACCGGACACCCTGTCCACCTTCTGTCTAGCAGTGGGGGTGATGCAGGTAGCCTCAAGTTGGGTGTCTGCCAAGACCCCCAGCCAGCCAGAGGGTCACTCGGCCCTCCCAGAGCGCAAGACACAGGCCCAGCCGGCCTGCTAGGCTCTGAGCTATAGCTCGCTGTGGCTCTGAGCCCATGGCCTGCTTGAGGCTTGCTGGGTCTGTATGGTGCAGGTGAGATGCTAAGCAGACATTTTAAGCATTTAAGTTAAACAAACCCAACTAGGGATAAACTATGTCAGTGTGTCAGATCCTCCTCTCAGGCCTATTTCCCACAGCTCCTCCCCCGTCCCACCCCCAGTCTCTTCCTGGCCGGCAGTCTGGGATCTAGCGGTCAGGACGCCCTGAGTGACTCCGCCTCCTTAGTGCCCTTTCTCAGCTCTCTGAGACCTCCTTCCCTGGCTCACTACTGGCTTCACCCGCCACCTACCACTCCCCTGTCTCCATACCCTAGGACAGGGGTGGGGAACATCCGTATAAGACCTGCAAAATCATTTGGTCTGGCCCTGCCAAGACATTAGGGATCAGTTAATTAAATGTCTGACCAAACATAGCAGGCTAATTTTTAAGTTGATAATTTTGTTTGGCCTGCAAATGATGTTATAAATACCCAAATGGCCCTTGGCAGAAAAAAGGTTCCCCACCCTTGCTCTAAGAGGACCCCCCACACTCAAATATGCATAATACCCAAATGGCCCTTGGCAGAAAAAAAGTTCCCCACCCTTGCTTTAAGAGGACCCCCCACACTCAAATATGCCCGCCTAGAAAGCAAAGGCCCCGCCCCCAGAGATTCTTGGCCCTCGCTGTGCAATACCCCTTGCAATCTCAGTGTTGCATCTGTCTCATAAGAGATGTACCCTGAGCATCCCCCTGCCTCCCAGCCTACCAGCTGCTGCCCGGCCCTTCCCCTCGCCAGCCCTGGCACGCACCTGTCAGCCAGAAGATCCGGCTGTGTCTGACCACGCCCCGCCTCCCAGGGCTGACCCCAGACTATCAGGCATGGGCTGTTGGCTCCATCTCAAGATACAGTCCACCTCAGTCCAGGCTTGCAGGCCCTGCTTGGCCCCTGTGGCCAAGCCCATACACAGATCTCTGACAGAAGTTTCTAATGGATTTACTTCCCCATGTTTACAGGTTTACTTTGCTACCTATATCATCAGCCACGGCAGAAACAGTTTCCACTAAAAATTAAAAGATTAAGGCTCAGTTCCCCTGAGGCCTCATGGTCCCAAGGACCATGGGCACAAAGCAGGAGCTGACTTTTCAGTCCACACATTGAGAGGTTGGAAGAAGAGAGCCTCCCACCTGGTCTGGATTCAAGGCAGAGGAACCTCATTATTACCATTTAACAATGAAGATCTTTCTCAAAGAGGGTCGGATCTGAAGGGTGATCCTGGGAAACGGAGAGCTGTCCATCAGGAAGGCTTGTTTTTGGTAAATGGGCTGATCAAATGCCAAATCGGAAGCCTTCCTCTGTGGGTCAGGATAGGACAGGTTCTGCTGTGGCTTATCATCACAGGTTTTCTTCTCTCTAACTGCACGGGGCTTAGCTGGGGTCCTGCTCCGGGCCTCCTCAACCTGGGACCCAGGCTGACAGAGCAGCCACCACCTCAAACACTGCGGATGCATGTGGCAGAGGGGAGCTCTGGAAGGTCTCACACCTGCTGTTCAGTACGCAGGCCCAGCAGTGACCCGTACCACTTCTACTCACAGCTCACTGGTCAGAGCTGTCACATGATCTACCCAACCACAAGGGGACCAGGAAGTGCAATCCAGCCTCCTGCTTGAAAGCAGACGTCAGCTGCTCTAGGGACCAGGGAAAGTGGGGAAAGCGTCCTGTCCAAGGCTTGGAGGCAGATGTGAACAAGAAAGGACAAGGCTACCCAGAACTTCACAAAGGCAAAGCGTGCTTATCCTTTTAAAGTAATCACTCCTGAATGAAGAGGTGTCGCTGTCTTCATTAGCATGTCTATATCAGCAATTTGGGGACACATAACCTCCATAACTAGAGCCAAGAGATCTTGTCACCCTTTTCAGAGTAGGATTCAACAGCCAAGAGCAGGTATTGACAGGCCTACCACTACCAGAGGGGCAGAGCTGAACTGGAACCCAGAGCCTCAGAAGGCCCTTGGAAGCAGGTTGGGTGGCAGAAATTAGATGGAACTTGGGGTACTCGACCCAGCATCTCTCCCCCACTGACGGACACATGACTAATTCACAGTCTTA